GGTGGACGTGGGAGTTTGGCCGGAGTTCAGGGAAAAAAAGGTGAATGGAGTTCTCCCGCTGCGAAAAGTAACCGGACACGGGAGCGTGGGGAGTGGGAAGCAGCAGTCCCAAGAGAAACTCAGACGAGATGGAAGGGGGGAACAAAAAATAATAAAAAATCACAGCGAGGGTGATTAAACTCTGCTTCAGGCATCCAGCGTCGAGACGGGCAAAACCCAGGCAGCCCCATGCGTGCGCGGCTTTGAGCAGGGGTTTGGGTTAGGTGACCTCCAGCAGTCCTTCCCCACCTAAATTCTTCTGGGAGGTTAAGAGGGACACAGAGCGGGTTTGGGGGGCTCTGCCAACCCAGCGTTCATCTCCCCCAAAGCCAGCACATGCGAGGTGGACGCCTGCACGGGACCCTGTGCCCCGGCTGCTGTTAGAGCCAGTGGGGGGTGAGACGGCGGTTTTAGGATGTGGTTCCTGGTGGGTTTTAAGCCCAGCGAGCTCAGATGGAGGTGACAAGGCAGTGGACGGTAACGTTAGTCGGATGAACGTGCTGGGAGAGCCTGCTTGTACTTTACCCTGAGACACAATTATCTGAGCCTCTGCGGGAGCTGCAGGTGGTGGCTCTTCAGGGTAGGAACCGAGGGCGGCGATGCCGTCCGGACGTGCGCTTCCCAACCCCGCTGACGTGATTTACAGCAGCCGAGAAGCTGTTGTGATTTACTGCTGGGGACACGTGGGATCCTCTAACGGGCAGCTCTGGCAGGAAACTGGAGATGCTCAAATCGCCATCTCTGGCTGTCCTTAGTGGTTGGCCTCCCCTTTTTCTCTGTCTGCTGGAGGTGAAACACTTTATTTCTTCAAAATCAGCTAATATTAGGGGGGGAAGGGACCTTTCTGCAGTGAGGTCGTGCTTGCAGGGAAGTGAGAGGGGACATTCCCACGGGGGAGGATACACTTGGATTTAGCCTTTGCATCCAGAAGCTCCAGTTTATGGGAAGCTTGAATCCAAGCGCCTCCTCCTGCTGACTCCAAAGCTGCTGCCTGCTGTTTCTGCCTGACATCCCCACATCCTGACCACACAGCAGACATGTTTTCCACCACCCAGGTCCTGCTTCAGGCCCAAACCAGCAAGGAAAGGGTCAGGAGAGTTGCTGCAGTGCCTAAACTGGGGCATTTAAGAGCAGGGACCAGAACTAGGGCTCTCGGGTAAATGCTGTCATAACACTTAGGGGTACTTTTTCCCCAGACCTAGTGAACGTTGAAAAGTTTTGGTATCTGGGATAGGGACTAAGGTGATCCCATGCCCCGCTGATGAGAAATGGCTCTTTGGTTCAATCTCCAGTGCCAAATCAGGCAGGGGATGTACTTAAAAGAGATTACTCAGAGCTCAGGAAGGGGACAGTGACACCTCCATCTGCTGGGGAATATCTCACTGGGGAGTGCTACCGAGATGAGTGCATGGAAGTGCCCCGAGACGTGGCTGGGAGGCCCTGGCCTAACCCAGGATGCAGGAGCATCACCCAAAAGGCTGGGAATCGCCCAGCTCCACCATTGCTCCTCTCCACCTCTGCACCACATCTTGGCAAGGGGGATGTATGTCCTTCCCCAGTCCCGTGGGCCATCCATGCTCGCCGTGATGTGCTATCACTGAATTACTGAGGTTGGCATCACCTCTGCACCAAGCCACGCCGAGACGTCAGACGGAAGCAGCCTTTAAGACATGCAGCATTCTTGTTTACTGGAAAAAAAGTGGCTCAGATCAGTGGAAAAATACACATTTGCATTTTGGTGACAGCCTCAGCCATTTGCACCCTGCAACACAAAAGGCGTCAGTGTGAAGGACTCTGCTTCAGCTCCCCCACATTCCCCAGGCTCAGCTCTCTCGCTTTGGCAGCCTTCAAATAAAGGACAAGCCAAGGTCAGGGGAAAAAAAAAAGAGAAAAAAGAAACAAGGGGGAAAAAAAAAGAAAAAACAACTAAAACTGTAGGCCCTGGTAAAACCTCTATGCAAGCGAGAGCTCCTGCGTGGAAACTACTCGCCGTTTGCTCTTGCGCTGCCCAGACCCCCCTGCAGCCCCTTCCTCCCTCGCTGGAGAAGCTGGCAGCCCTCCAGCCCCCAGCTGCTGGGATGGGCACTGGTGGAGGTGGCAGAGATCAGGTTTTGTCAGGCGTGGGGAGAGCTCGCCCCGACACCAGCACCACCATCCTCTGTCCTCCTCCACCAGTAACTTCCCACAAGCTTCATGGAGACGCTGAGCTGCTTGAGGAACAGCAAACCCACTCCAGAAGGTGCTGGAAAGAAGCACAGTGACACCCACGACCCCGTCCTCTGCTCTCACGTGCATAAGCTCTCCCACTGCAAGCCCCCAGAGCGTGGGAGGGGAGAATTTGCAGGATCTGGCCCAAAAAAGCGCAACACCAGATTGCCTCCTCGTGCCAGCTTGCACGGACCCGCGGAAGCTGCTGCGGATTTATACTGACGTTGGATCCAGCCTTGGAATTTAAAAAAAGGCTCCGTGTTTATCCAAGTGCTGGGAAAGGCTGTCAGAGCTGCTTCCTGCGCCCTTTCAATCCCTGGCTCCGGAGTCACTGCGGGAACCGCCCGGCGGCAGCCACAGCACGTCAGCTCTGGCAAACAAACTCAGACCCCTGAACTAAAGGTGAAAACATGGTTCAACACGAGGAAGCCATCATCTGCCTGACTGCATTCGCCAGCAAGGACATGGGCGTGCTGCTGTCAGATGCAACTTCCATTTTCAGACTGCGATGACACCCTTTTTATCGCACGTGAAGCGAGCCCAGCTCTTGTCTGAGGCATGTGTGGACTCCAGCTGTTAAAAAATTTAGGAGCAGGACGCTCATTTCAGGTCTCAGCTACTGTATAACCAGCAGGGCTGCAGAATTCCAGACTTAAGACACACACAGACACATAAATGCACCGCCTGAGGCATGTCTTAAAAAGAATGTAAGAATGTGATTTCCAGTACCGCAGGAGGAGAGCAGGGGTGGTGGATGCCACAGTATCTGTAGGGAAATCAATTCCCACTGCTTAATTTAACAGCCTACAGGGTTTTGGGTTGTTTCCCTTCCGCAACAGATGTTGGAGGTGTACAGACGAGTGATGAAAAGTAGGTTTAGGACAAAAAGAACAGGCTGATGGTGTAAACCGCAGAGGCTAACAGGCTGGAGGTTTGAGATTTCCTTTTCTGCTGTTCCTTTGAGAGCTGGACAAACTGGGCAGAGCAGCAGTTTAGCATCAGAGTAGTAAAATGCCCTGCACACGGCATGTCACCGTGCTGTTACTTAAATTCTCCCAAAAGAGTAAAGCAGAGCAAACACAGCATTTTTACCTGACTTAGGCACCTTCTCAATTTCCCAAAGAATGATGAAGTTTTTCTGGAGGAAAGCTGTAAGAAAAGTCAAGCTTCAGGTGTGAAACATCTTTTCAGTTTGTATTTCTTACTATAAGCAAGGTGCATGCCCTGAGAAAAAGGTTTTTAAGGTGTTACAGGTGAAGCAAAGGGGTTTCCCCACCTCTTTTGTGTCCTTTTCTTAATATCTACTATTGCTTTAAAAGTTAATGCTTTGCTCAATACATTTGGCTTATGAGCCTGGTAGGAATTTTAACATTTAGTTTGCATTTTAAAAAACAGCCATAATATTTGATGACAGATTCTGGTCCTGATTCAATAACCCCCAAACACCCCTCACCTAGACACCTTTCCCGTTCAGGAACGCCACGCTTTCCTGGATGCTGAAAAGCATACGGACCCAGAGCGGTGGCTGCAGCTGAACTCCAGCCCTTTGGTCTTGGGACGGGCAGTCACAGCTCCGCTCCTAAACCTCCTGCCAAATCCTTTTGTGGCCCTGAGTAAGGGAAAGAAAGCATTTCTAGCAAAAACCACTTTATAACTTAGTAATAGCCTTGTAGCTATCAAAAAAAAAAGTTACATAAAAGAAGTTGCATTAAAAAAAAAAAAAGGTCTGCAAGATGGCTTACTAGAATATTTGAAAATGAGAAGAAATCCTCACAGAAACTACAACATAAAATAGCACACACGTTTCTTCAGCAATTTAAAAACAACTGTTTTATTTTTGCTCTTCTGCTCTTTGTATCAAAGGGGAATAAAGTTCCCAAGAGCCCCAGAAGGCCCGAGGCTCCCCTCAGGTACTGATTTTTGTTTGGCTTATATGCAAAGTTCCCCCCAGATTTGCAGTTACAGTTACGACAGCTTTTGCTCCAACGCCTCCCCGGTTACATCCTGCTCCGTAAATGATGCCTGGTTGTCAGCTGGAACCCCACACTCACAGATGCTGAACTCAGAGTATTAGACTTCCCTTTACAACTTCACAGGAAACTAATGTTGGCTTGTTTTGTTGTTTGTTTTTTTTAAATTCTGGTTTGGGCTAAAACTTTTCCAGTCCCAGAACTGCAGCACGTGGCCTCCTTGTTTACCACTGACCCCAACCAACCACCCTATTTCCCCCGTACACGCGTTCCTCGGTATCACGAGGAAACCCTTCCAGAAGCGGCTCCTCCGGATACTGCGCGCCCGTCAGCTGCAGGAGGAACCGTCTCTTTCGGGACAAAATCTTTGACAAGCGGCCGCAAAGCCGCTGCCCAACTCGGTCCTAAAAGAGCCGCTCGGCCAGGCGTAAAACCCCTTCCAGCAGCTATTATCAGCAGCCAAGCGCTTCAACCGGATCGCGTCCTCTCCTGCCGGCGGGCAGAGACCCTCTGGAGCGCTTTCGCTTTGCGGGACGTACGCGCTGACGGAGGTGGGTACCGGCGCCTTCTTCTCGGGGCGACTTCTGCGGAAGGGACGTTTCCCCGCGGGGACGAACGGAGCCGCGAGCTGCCAAAGGGGAGCGGGACGTTGCCGGGAGCGAGCCCGTCTCCTCCCGGCTCCCGCTTCGGGCGCGCCGGGGAGGGTCGCAGCCCTCGACGGCGGCCCCCACGCGTGTCCCCGAGGGGGCCGAGCAGAAGAGCGAGGCCGGGCGGGGGGCCCTAGGCGGCCAGGTCGAAGTCGTCGCGCTCCTGGTTGTAGTCGAGCACCTTCTGCCGGAGGCGAGAGGCGTCCACCCAGGTGACGAAGTCCTCCACGGCGCGGGGGACGAGGAGCGCGGGGTCGGTGACCACCTCGGGCCCCACGCGGACGTGGCCCTGCTCCACGAAGGTGACGGCGTGCCGCAGGTTCTGCGCCATCCGCAGCTTCACCAGCAGGCAGGGCAGGCGCCGGCGGCAGAAGGCGGCGGCCGACAGGTTCTCGCAGACGGCCAGCGACCGCCGGCTGCTCACCAGCCCCAGCCCGTAGAGCTTCTCCAGCAAGGCGGCGGCGCAGCGGGCGCGGAAGGCGGCGCTGGCCGGCCCCAGGTCGCGGAGGCGGCGGGCCAAGGCGCGGACGGTGCGGGCCAGCGCTTTGTACTGCACGTAGTCCTCCCGCCGACCCAGCCGGTACCGCCGCAGCGCCTTCACCTCGGCCAGGCTCCCCCCCGCCGCCTCCCAGCTCACCAGCTCCAGCCGCCGCAGCAGCTTCTGCTCGTGGTACTTCAGCTTCCGCACCATCTTGGGGACGAGGGCGGCTCCGCGCCGCCGGCCTACCCCCCGCCCTTTCCGGGGAGGAGCGCCCGCGCTCCGCCC